TATAAATTGTTGAAAGAAAACATTAAAATAGCTATTTTCCTTAATTTTAATACACCATACACAGTTTTGGTCTTGGACATTAAAATCATTTGGTTTTCAACTTTGTAATGTCACAAGTACCATAATAAACTTTTATAAAATCTACATCTGTTAGTATTCTGAAATATGATATTTATTTACTTTTAAATATTTATTTATGCATAAAAAACTGGTATACAGGCCACAAGTATTGTGGGGGTGAGAGGATTCACCAGAGACAGAGTGGAGAGCAGAACAGATAGATTGACTGAAATGTCCTGCTGAAAGGAGCAGTGGGTGAAACAGGAGAGGTCTGCTGGGCCTTGTGAGTCAGCTCCCTGGCTAGGGATTGAACTCATGCTACAGTGGCTGCCTATAACTTCATAGTGCTGTGTTTTAAACTGCTGAGCCAGGGAGGCACAGAGATATTCCAGGGAGGGTCCTGAAATATAACATTTAAATAAAAAGGGCAGTCAGCAGTTGTTTACCCTGGCTATATGCATATTAATGTTTTCAAATAAACCAGCTTAAGTAAATTGCCCCATTCATTCAGCTACATGGTGGCAGGCATCATACAGAGAACTAGGACAATGATCTGATAAAAGTTAAAATATTGATTGAGGGGACAAATAGTAGCTACTAGTGTCTTAATGTGGATTGCAGCATTCCTTTCAAATATCTTTTAATAGTACAAATATTTTCTTGCTTATGTGGGAGAAAAAATGTATGAAATCAGAGTTAATTTGATGTTATATATATAATCATCTCATAATGGTTTCCTAATGAGAAAGAGATGTGACTGATACCTGAACATAGTCAATATAAAAAAAAGTTCAGATTTGTTGTACAATGTGTTTTTTGTATAGCTTACTACAGCATCTGAAGTTCTAAACTTCACTTCCCTTCAGTGAAATTAATGAGAGCAATTTTATAAGTTCTTGACTTGTAAGAACCAGGAAGCCATTCCATCTATTTGTGCTCAGCTGCTACTTTTACTCTCCCAACTTTGGAACTGGGCAGTGCATAGCTTCTCAGGTTCACATAAACAATCTGACTCAACAGAGCCACCACATTAATATTCAAAAAATTCCCTGGAGTTTGCCTAGATAAAAATAGAATAAAGCATTTATTTCAGCAAAACAAATGATGAAAAAGCTGTGATCAGCTTTGAAAGCCATTAACTTTCAGTATAGTCCGCATTTTTCTCACTCAGGAAATGCTTGTTGCCTTTCACTTTATCGGCAATGTATTTTTTTCCTCCTAAAGATGCTCTCTTTTTAGGGCTTCTTTGGCTTATTTAGTTGGCTCTGGTTAGAAATAAGCAGGTGAGCACAGATAGACAAAGCTGAGATCATGGTTTTTCCCTTCCTTGCTCCACCTTCATCCCCAATACCAATGTGCTGCCTTTGATCTACATTCTAATGTCTATTGTGATCCCCTTCCAGGAAAGCTTTTGTTACCCACCTGCAGAGTGTAGGCAGCCAGCATTTAACCATCATTTCTCTGACCCCATTTCCTCTATGTGTGGGGCATGGGAAAACTGATGAACTAGTTGTTTTCATCAGACCTGCAGAATTAACTGCACACAAGAGTCTCTGACTCCAGGAACATTTTTTCCACCATAAATAAGCTACATTTAATTCATGACTCTATAAGCATTATCCATGACTTTATATATTGCCTTATTCAAGCAACAGAGAGTATATGTAATTGTCAACTATAATCATTGTTAGCATGTTAACAATGCTAATTATAATTTTAACTACAATACTAATTAGATTTACTAATTAAATTTTATAATTAAGTGTGGGGCTATCATCTCATTTTTGGTAAACAAAGCTTCTATTGTTCATATACCCACCTACACATTAAAGATTGAATGTGTAATGTCTGTTCATGGTCCCTGGAGCACAGTGAGCACTCAAAACAGGGTTGTGGTTTTGGTTCTGGTTGTTGTTATTAATGTCAATTAGTTCATTGTGTATTTTATTCTTATTTTAAATATGTGAATTACAGTTATATATGTATATGTATATTTAGTGTGAGTCATTGTATCTAAAATAATATGTCTTATTTTGGTTCTAAAAATGTCTGTTCTTTCCTAGTGAAGATTAATAGTCACTTCAGGAAAGACATTTCCATAATATAAAAAAAACATGAAAAATATAGGAAAGAACTTAAATTGGTTCCCTCTACCCACAGGGTAGAGGGTTGTTACTCTTAGGGTTATTGTCCAATCAAGGGTGGGTACTTAGGTGAGTATGTATGTAATAACCAGCAGAGTGTATCTGAGAGACTTTGTTAAAATACCAACTAAGGTAATTTTCAGATCAGTTTCTTCAAAATAGCTATTTTGGAGTTCTAGGTCTTCCAAGGACAAATTTATGAATCTGAGAGATTCAGTCTGTGGACTACTCAGCCTAATAGTCAAGGCCTTTTTAGGAATATTTTTAAAGGCAATTACTAAACCCAAACACAAGAAATTCTACAATTTTTTTTTAATGGAGGAGAGGGGGGAGGACAATTTTATTTAAAAACCACAAAATGTACCCAGGAATATTGGCAAAAAAATGGCCATTTGTGACAGATGAAATCCTCATGGTGAGGCAATACCACCCAGGAAGGCTATGGAAGAGCATCATGGAAACTTAGACAAAACCACAATCTACGATCAAATGCTAACTCTTCACAAAATACATCACAACGAATTAATGTAGGGATTGGAATGCTCTGTATGCAGATCAGAGAAGCCAGTTACAATGTCTGGGCACAAAGAAAAGAAATGATATTGTCAATGAAGAATATGAATATTGTCTATGAAGAATTGCTACCTATTTATTCCTGTCCCTTGCTACCTATTTATTCCTGTCCGTTGTCTCTGCTTATAGGAATCAAGCAAGCACCAAAGCCATCAGGTGCTGGTAGAAATGAGTCAGCCTTTGACTCTATTCACTCCACCAAAAAAACAGGTAAGGATTAAGACGCTGACTCCCTCAATCAGCACCACTCTGAAAGTTGGGCTGAAACTGTAGGTTCACTGTTGCCAAAAAAGCAACATCCACAAGCCTCCAAGGAGTCACAGCCAAGCAATAGCACATGGTTACTACTAGAAAGACATTCAGAATCTTACCTTTGGGGTCATGAGAAGTGCATGAGTTAAATATTACTAAGATCCTGTGAGGTACCAATTTAATAACATAATGCCCTGAGGGGCAAAGTGGATGAGTGCTGATGAGTCACGGTAGGTTCCAGCTTTCATCATGTTCAAGTTTTTCTCTTACATAATGTCTTAGAGTATACTCATGCCTCAAATATGATTCTAATTTGAGACTATCACTCTATATATTGGGCCAAATTCTGTCTTGGAATACCGTTCTGTGCAAGTTACTAGACGGTACCTCTTCCCTCAACCCTTTAGGCAAACCAGATGGAAAATGGTGGCCTTTCCTTGGATGGTAGCCTCAGGTGGGTGAGCAAAGTGGGCACTAAACTTAGGCTTCCACTTGCACTCCCTGACTGAATAGCTCTGTGCAGTGCTCACCTTCAAAATGAGCCTGGTCTGCACGGGCTTGTTGTTTCTGCCATAGGGGTTCCTTTGTTATAATCCTATGAGAAATTCTGACAGTGTTCAATTACATATTAGAATTGGGGGTGGGGCGACAGAACACCCACCCAAGGAGAAACTACATGCTTTAAAAATCTGAAGTTAAAATGGTATCAAAATCAAGGGCAATTGGAGATAGTAGAGAAATGATAAACTGATATGAGAAACTAGAGTTGTTGAGTTCTGTACATCTCTACAGTCTTTCAAAAAGCAGCAATCCCAGTCTGTTTTATCAGTAAAAATACAGAGAGGACTTCTCCATCTCTTCTGTGCTCCATCATCTCTGGGTGTATTACCAACTGTAACTTAGAGGACTATTATACTGTATTACCAAAGGCACTTTTCTGTTGATCTATTTCCTGTCGCCCAACTACTACTTATCAAATGTTAAGTGTTTTTAAATGTTAAATGTGATTTTTATGTAGTAAGTCCTTATGATATTTTATCTGGAATATCTTTTCACCACAATCGCAGGCACTCGGCGCCCACCCTTGCCACCTAGACCTATACCCCCTCGAAGAAAACCGTTACCACCAAATAATGTCACTGGCAAGCCAGGGAGTGCAGGTAGGTCCATACCCCTTCCCTTCCTTTCCCTGACTTCAGCCTTTTTAGCCAATTTTTGTCTTTTCTCAGGCAATAAACAGGTCCCTGATGTGTGTGGTACATGTCTGTGTTGGCCCTCAGGAACTGGCCAGTGTGAAGTACAGCTGGCTAGGACTTGTTTCTTAATTCTGGTGGGTAGAGTGAAGGAATCCATCCCTGTGCATCTGGGCCAGTTTGTTTCTGAGCTGTGGTGTGCTTGGAGCGCAGACAGAAACTGCCACAGGCTCTCAATAAGAGAATTATTTTGAATGAGATGTTGTACATGGCCAACCGGAAGTAACATAGTCACGTCCTGTCAACTCCTTCTCATTCTGTCTTCTGAATTGAAATCCTGTGCATCTGAATTGAAGGTGCCATTCAAACTGGCTCATTTGTTATGATGCTAGAGGAAAGTTTGGGGACTAAAGTATTCAGCGTGGCTGGGTAGGGCTAGCCTTTGCAATAGGGAGGAATATATTGCAGCTATCAAACTGCTTCTCACCTCCATACCCATAAAATTTCTCCTTCCTATAAAATGCCCACTCCCACTCACCAGGACACTCATTCTGCATCTTTTCTTGAAGAAGTCTTTTCTAATTCCCCAAAGAGCAGTGTTAATGTTCTTCTCAGTTGTTTTTCCTAGATACTTAACCTGTTAGAACAAACAACAAATTGTTTTATACCTGTTTATGTGTTTCTCTCCCCTACTAGACAGACACCTTGACATATTTTCTCTGAATTCCCAGAGCCAAATCCAGTGCTGAGCACAGAGATAACTGATAACTGCTATGTGATAAATGACACTAATAATCAGTGAAAATTGACCCATTTCACATTAGAGCTTTACCTAACTTCTGTTGAGGACTCTTTTATTCATTCACCAGAAAGTCACAGCCTGTTCTCTATCCTTCCTCCCTCTCTCCCCATCTCTACTTTTAAATACACTGTAGGTGCAGTCAGAATAAAATGCCAGACATCTGTGAAAGATAAAAATAATAAGGATTTAGGTGGAAAGGAATGGATGTTTTTGTTTTCACAGGATGAAAAGAGTGTGTGGTGACGGGGATTTTAGGAGGTGTCATAGGAATCAGTCTCATCCATGCTCTGGTGTCTTATTAAGCCAAGGCCAGGCTCTCCTCCCCAGTGAGGAGACCAGGTTTTTTTCCCTCATTAATAGTATCCGAAGGTGGAGACTTGAGCTGCAGCAGTCTTCAAGTCACTGAAAATGATATCTGATTGTTCACCATGGAAAAATTGGGCAACTCCCTGACAAAGCTCCCCTGTAAGGTCGTATGTTTCAGCTGCAGCTCCATCACCATGGCTCCTGCTATAAATGCTCTTGTTCTCACCCATTGGTATGTGCAGCTTTGGTGCAACCTGCCAGCCTGAAGAACCATGAACACATTCTCCTGAGATTAATGCTGGTCCTCTGCACCCCTGTGCTTGCTTTCTATCTCTTAAAGGAGGCAAGCACAAACAAGGGCATATTTGGCCTGATTACTATCACAAAGTATGTCTTGAATGAATTCTGAGATCAAGTAAATTGAGTAGCCTCTGAACAAGTTCTCACTGTGAGCAGTCTTAGGCTGGCATAGTGTCTCTGTCACTAGTTACCTTTCTCCAGAACCACTGACATGTCAGTCCTTTTCTGCTGGTCAGGAGGAGAGTACTCTGCTGGCATTCCTGTGGCTATCCCAACTCTGAAATAAATGCTCCTATGGGCTCTAGTGCAATTTTTGTTGACTTTTGCTCACCCCCTTGTCAGGACTCATTCCTACCAGGATAAGGAGCATAAATTCACAGGGACTTGGTTAGCAGTCTTGCCTGAGTGACTCATCCATGAATCCATGATGGGCCAGGCTTATGTGAGAATGATCCCTTTTCCCAGGAGGAATATAAAATTTAATCTAACCTCCCCAATACTCTAACACTTAGACTTATTTAGACTTTGGGATAGATCTGGTTTTGGAGAGCTGCATTCTTACAGAGGTGGAGATATTGTTGAATATAGCTACTCAGGGTGGCACCATTGTGTGCACTGGGTCAGAATTACATACGTTATCTTAGTATTCTTCTTCCTTTTTTTCTAATCATCTCCCATACCTGCCAGTTAATCTCCAAGTCAGGCTATTCCATCTCCTTACATCACTCATCTCTAACCCTAACACCCAGTCTCATTACTTCTGCTCTAGGTTACTTCTTCCAGTACCTATATAACTGCCATAGTCTTACTTCTCTCTCATCCATCAGCCTCACACTCTAACCATTTATCCTCCTCTTATCTAGTCTTGTTTCTTCACTACTCAGAATCTTTCAGTGGATCCTAGTTGAGTGAAACTAATGTCCAAGTCCTTGGCAGGCAAGGTACATTCTCACCCTTCCAGGCTCAGCTCTCATTCTACCCTGGAGCCCTTATGGCACTCACCCCTTCAAATTAAGTACACATTAATATTTCCCATGCATTTCATGCTTCCTGAATTGTTCTTCTTACAAACTCTGACTAGAACCTACCTAATGAGCCTCTGTGAACACATACACTCCAACCCTCCATCACCCAACACCTTCTTCCTTCCCCAAAGATAGTACTACACCCTCCCAAGCCAGTCCTTCCACAATATCTATAATTCTTCAATGTATTTGGCTCATGCATCCATCTCAACCAAGGACACCAGGTAGGTTTCACTATAAACCTGGCATGTAGTGCCAAGCTGCATAAGTCTTTAATAAATATGTATTGACTGGAGGAACATGGCAATGTTCCTATGAAAACTGACTACTTTAATTTGCATCACACATCTAACCCCTCATAGGAGTCATTTCAACAAGTCGAGTAACTTCCTCAACCTTGAAGGCAACATTCAGACCTACTGGAGCCCCCTCTCAGAGAACAGAGACAGATAAAAAGGAACCAACAGCAGCTGCCTCAGGAGATCTTGGTTAGTATGTCAGTCACTGTCCACTGGATGAGTAGTTATAAAGTACTGAAAGATTTCAAATTGGGGGAAAAAAATCTCAGTTCCAGGACCAATTTTACTCAATTTTATTAATATATTTTTTAAATTAATTAACTTAGTCCTTCAATGCTTTGTTACCAAATATGCCTCTTTGCTTTGCAGACAGCGTACTCAATTTTGGTTTCTAAAAATACCTTAATTGCCCTGTGTTTATGAGTAAAACACTTAGCATTACTAATCACACATACCTTAATTTTAATGAATATTAAACTATTTGGTTGTAATTATTTTAAAGATTCATTTATTTATGCCTTCAAGAACCGGGGTACAGGCCAGAGGTGTGGGCGGGGGTGAGGATTCACCAGTGAGAGAGTGGGGAACAGAACAGACAGATTGAAATACACTGCTGAGGGGAACAGTGGGTGAGACAGGAGAGGTCTGCTGGGCCATGTGGGTCGCTAGAGTGGCGAGGATAGTTTCATAGTGCTGTGCTTAACCCCTTGCATCACCAGTCTACTGGTTGTAATTTTTAACAAATTATTCATTATATCCCAGAATGCCTGTATCAGGACACAATTTAAAGCCTTTTGTTATAGGTAATACATACATATCTGTGACTAATAAAGGGAATCAAAGCTGTAAGTTTTTTTATCTTTTGCTGAAATTGTTATCTTTGATTCTCAGGTAACACAACTGATTTTAGCTCAAGCCCAACAAGAGAAACTGATCCTCTTGGGAAGCCCAGATTCAAAGGTATGTTTGTGTGGCTCCAAATCTCAATTTTGACAAGGCTGTCTTTAATGGCTGAATCAATCATCTATAATCATGTGACAAAGAAATACACAATCTGAGTAGCATTCTGTAATAAGTATTTACTTATTAAATCCTTATTACAAGTTATCTAGGGGTCAGCCAGTGCAGGATGGAGGTGGCTGGGTGTTTCTGTTTCTAGCAGCAGGTATGGCTGGGCTTCTAAGTAGGTTGGCCTAGGGTCTGCTACAACAAATCTATTGGTTCTGGTGACCCAAAAGAAACCATGCTCATAACAGTACTAAGTCGGAGAGGGAGAATCAAAAAAATCACATTTCAGGTTCCTCCTTCTGCCTCATCCAATATCCAATGGCCAAAGTCACACAAACAACCTCTAATCAAGGAATGAGGAAAAACACTCCTCCCATGGGTATAGAGGACATTTGTGAGCAGTAGTCTACTGCAGAAGGGGACATATGCACTTGACCCCTAAAACACATAGGTTTGAATTGTACAGGTCCATTCCTACAGAAATTTTTCTATCCAGGAGTTCCACATTCATAATTCAACCAACTGTAGATATTGGCTGAGTCCTTGAATGTGGAAACAAACTTAGAGAGTGATTTCTAGTTTAAACACATTTGTCAAGTAACTCTCCATTGCTTATTTTTTTTTCTTTTTTTATACCATAAGCATAATTTTTTTACATCATTCATTTTGTGCATTTTTCCAGGTCAGTTGTAATACCCATGGGCCTCCCATAACCAATTCACCCGTGTGCCATCACAACAGTCCAGTGTATGCTTCCCACCCCAGTTCCAATCCCATTCCCCCTCCCACGCCCATAAAATGTCTCTGGTTTATAGATGTACGTTGTTTCCATTTTTACTCTATTACATTTGTTAGTCTCTTTTTTTTTTTTTCCTCATCCCTTATGCTCCTGATATGAGTGAAACCATTTGATATTTTTCTTTCTCTTTCTGGGTTATTTCACTAAGTATGATCACTTTCAGGTGCTTCCATGTTGCTGTAAAAGGTACAAGTATCTTTTTGATTGCTGAGTAGATTCCATTGTGTATATGTACCACATCTTCTTAATCCAGTCTTCTATTGTTAGGCATTTGGGTTGATTCCACATTTTCCCTATTGTAAATAGAGCAGCAATACACATGGGGATGCAGGTGTCCTTCTGAATCAGTGTTTTTTTGTGTCCTTTGGGTATATACCTAGGAGTGGGATTGCTGGGTCATATGGAAGCTCTATTTTTAGCCTTTTGAGAAACCTCCAAACAGCTTTCCATAGTGGTTGCATCAGTTTGTATTCCCACCAGCAGTGCAGGAGTTCCTTTTTCTCCACATCCTCCCAACATTTGTTGTTGCTAGTTGTTTTAAGATGTGCTATTCTCACTGGTGAGAGATGGTATCTCATTGTGGTTTTAATTTGCATTTCCCTTATAAGTGATGTTGAACATTTTTTCATATACATGCTGGCCATCTGCATTTCTTCTTTGGAGAAGTGTTTTTGAAGCTCTTCTGCCAGTTTTTTGCTGGGTTTATTCACTTTTATTTTTGTTGAGTTCCATCAGCTCGTTGTATACCTTTGTGATCAGTCTTTTCTCATTAGTATTGTATGCAAAAATTTTCTCCCAATCAGTGGGGTGTCTCTTTGTTTTGTGTAGTCTCTCTGATTGCTTGATTCTATTGAGACTTTCTTGTGTGAACTATGAGATGATCTGTCTTGGTATGTTTTATATATATTTAAAAGAATGTGTATTCTGCTATTCTTAAATGAAGTGTTGTATTAGTTTGCAGGGACTACCATAATCATATACCATAGACATGGAAATGTATTTTCTCACAGCTCTGAGGAACAGAGGTCTGGGGCCAAGGTGTCTTCAGGTTTTGTTTCTCTTGCAGCCACTATCCTGGCTTGCAGATGCCCCTTCTTACTGAGGCCTTGAGTATTCCATAAATATAGAAGTTTAAGCCATACTCATGGGGATCAAATTTCTTTTGGATATTAGCATAAGATAAACCTATTACAAAAATAAATCCACATGATATTCATATTTATCTCAGGGGCAGAATTCTGATTTTCAAAAATTTGAACCGTGTATATCAACTGCTTTCATACATCTGCTTATGAGACAAGATGTATTCAGATAACTTATTCATGGCTTCAACTCTACCTCGCAAGCTCAAAAAATGCTAAATGGTGGAATCCTTTCTCTTAGGTCCCCACGTGAGATATATCCCTAAGCCGGAAAACAGCCCCTGCTCCATCACTGACTCTGTTAAACTGTTCCCCAAAGAGGAGGCCACAGAAGGAAACATCACCAGCCCACCACAGAACCCACCTACCAATCTCACTGTAGTCACTGTAGAAGGATGCCCTTCATTTGTCATCTTGGACTGGGAGAAGCCCCTTAATGATACTGTCACTGGTAAGATCATAGCATAAGGACTGGTCACAAAGGTGGGAAGCTTTGATAATGTGATGCATTGGGAGTGTGGTACCTTGAGTCAGACTGTAACCTCTGAGGCATATCTTTCAAGAGTAGCCAGTGTCAAAAGGGTCATATAATAATTCAGGCAAACTAGGAATTTTTCAATTGTTTAGGAGTTGTGTTTTAAATTCTATTCTTGGTCAAATTTAATTCCATTCTCAAAAAATTTTGACTTTACTTTTAGTCACCCAATTCCTCAAAAAAAATGATGATGGAAAATAAAAACTCCTATGTCATTCTCTGAATTTATTATTGGGAATTTGCTTCTCCGTAGTGAACAAATGAATCAAGTGGGATAGGAGTTGGGGGGAACCTAGCAAACTAAATCAGCTGGAAGATACAGCTAATAGCCTGAGTATACAGGTTCTGCTGTCCAGATCTCTGCCACGTGCCTGGTGGGTAAATACAGAATAAAGGGAAACCAGATGATGCTTTTCTAATGTTTGTCAATGGTAACAAATAATGGGCCTTATGGAAAAGGTGGCTCTATTGTTATTTTCATGCTCTACTGGATAGACCAGTGTTTAAAAGTTATTTTTTCTGTTAAGTGAATAAAACCCTCCATGGAGAAAAAAAAATTAGTATTCTCTATAGATTTCCTTGTATTTTTATAATAAACGAAGTCCTAGGTCTTCAAAAAATACCAGCAGCATAATTCCAAAATTATCAGATATACAAGTTGACTTAAGAGCCTAAATTCTTAAAATTCTTTAAGATTTTGTAAATTGAGGTAACACTGGTTTTTAAAAGTTCCATATTTTAAGATAAGAAATATGGACACATAAAAAGGTTATCTTTATCTTCTGAAAATATATTCACATTGTCTCTACCAATATTCATTCTAAAAATTAATATTTCAACTTGATGTTAGTGGATCTATGAAAAAGTTACTATCACTTTAAAACACCAAAAATTAAAGCTATAGTTATGAAGCAAGGCTATAAATTTCAAATGCTAGAATTCTGAAATTCTAAGTATCTTTTCAATTAATAAGGTAGCTTCTAGATCCATTTTGAAAACTCCAGTCTTTCAGATCAAAAATTGCTTTAAGTCAACTTTCAAAACTTGAGTGAAAAAAAAAAGTTAGAAAAGATGTGCAATAAGAGTTTCATGTACTAGAGGGCTGGGATAATATTAAAAAAAGAGTATTGCACCATCAATAAGGACTCCCCTAAGCCAAAGATATTTCTGGAAGATGATTGCATTTATGTATACCTACCTGGATTGTCATATAAATTGCTCTTTTGGTGCCTAAACAGCACTGCAATCTCTCCATTTGGAATGTTTCACTTTTTTGTGACCATATTTTCAAAACACGACTTGGAGATAATGAAAGCAACAAAAATAATAGGTACCACCTATTGAGAAAAATAAACTACTAATCACTTTATTAATTTCTAATTTAATCCCCACAAGCACTATGAAAAAACAGTTTATCCCAGGTGTTCAGAAGTAACCACAGAAGCATCACTGGTCTTTACGAGGTGCTGCCTGGTCCTTTGTTTCTCTAGTAAAAAGAAAGGCCAATGAGCAACTCCTCTAATGTTTAGAACCTTGATCATCTATTGATCATCCCTATGTGGAAATTGCTCAAGTATAAGATCAGTGCATTGCTAGCACTTCTTTTATGAGAATGACTTTATTATGCAATTAAGGTTAAAATTAATCAGCCAAGACATAAAAGCAATTATCTATTGACTTTTTTTCTCTTTTCAGAATATGAAGTTATATCCAGAGAAAATGGCTCATTCAGTGGGAAGAACAAGTCCATTCAAATTACAAATCAAACCTTCTCCACAGTAGAAAACCTCAAGCCGGACACAAGGTAATCCTTAGCAGTGTATTCTGAGATTGCAAAAGTCCTAACAGCAACAGAGAAATGAAAAGACATCATTACTGTCTTAAGGCAGGGTCTAGTTTGAAGCGCATACTTTGACTGGGCTCAGCATTAGCTACCTCTGGAATTATGTCATGAAGATAACTTATTGGTGGGGATAGAGAATTGCTGTTGAAATTATCTCATACGTTATAAGTATAGCTGGGACCTCTGGAAATAGAAGCCCACTGATAACCAAATGTGGTATTAAACACCAAAATTTTTTTTTTTTTAAAGATTTATTTATTTGTACATACAGAACTGGGGTACAGGCCAGAGGCTCAGGGGCGGTGAGAGGCTTCACCAGAGACAGAGCGGGGAGCAGAACAGGCAGATGGACGAAGTACACTGCTGAGGGGAGCAGTGGGCGGGTCAGGAGAGGTCTGCCTCGCCATGTGGTCTCCTCCGGGGCAGGCGGGATTTGAACTCATGCGGAAGTGGCTTTAGCTTCTCAGTGCAGTGCTTTAACCCGCTGCGCCACCAGGGAGGGCCAAAACACCAAAATTTAAAGAAGAAAAAGTCTGTGACCAGAGACAACTGGAGTGTGTATGATGTAAACTAGATTTGAACAGAATTTGGCTGGCATGCTGAAAAGGAGAGGGAAGGGAAATAATAGCATGTTAACAATCATATGCTAGAGTTTGTAAACAGCTTGTGCCTCAAATAGCTACAGACTAGTCCCAGATACAGAAATCATTGCATTGGGGACTTTCTATCGCAGAAAAGTAAGAATAAAGAAGCCTATTTTCAGTATTATTCTTTAATATAAACAATCTTTCTTGGCATCCCTTATTGCACATTAATACCAGGTTGTTCAAGTGTAAATGTGGTTTAGTTATTCTTTTTTAAATCTAAAATACCCTAATATATTATCAATGCAGTTGATTATTGCAAAAAAAAAAAAATGACCTTCAGCACTTTGAGAAATATGGTAGGGAAGTTCCAAGAAGACACTCATTTTTTAAAAATAAGTTTTACTTCTTTTATCTTTCATTGTCACCAATTGATTGAATTGGGTTGATGGTGACCGCTCAAAATGCCTATTTTGGCTTGGAGAAGCAGAGATTCTTGTAATGTTTTAGTGGCAAAGGAAGCATCTAATTTATTATAGATGGCTGTTATGTATAAACTATAGTCCCAAGCTGCAAAAATAACTTTTTCCACAAGTGTTTTTTTTCTTTTAAAGTTCTCTATTTTGAACTATAATATGGAAAATTTTGTAACTGCTAATTTTCTTAAAGGATTTAAGTTGGCTAAAATCAGTGTATGTGTCAGGAAAAGCCATTTGATGATTTTCTGTTTCCTAGCAAGATTAATGGGAAATAGCCTATTTTTACCATAAGGGGAGAAAAAAAGAGAAAATGTCATTTAACTTGGATATTTTAATAGGTGGACTTGGGCTTACAGAACTTAAACATTTTCCTCTTTCCTACTTTTTATTCCACCTAATAAAAAGTGAACTGTGTAGTACGCAGAAAGTACACTGAAAGGCATCCAATTTCTAAATGTTCATTTTGTTCCTTTTCTGAACCACACTGTCCTCAGATCTTCTCATAGAGCATCTGTTAACTCATGATCAGATGTAGAACAGTTATTCTGGTGACATTTGAAACTATCGTTTCAGTGTTAGCGATGTGTTCAGTGGGAGTACAAACATGAATAAACTTGGTGCCTACCTTTAAAAAATTAAAGAAAGTGGTGAGGATTCTGCTAAAAGTAAGCACATGGCATGTGGAGCCCAAAGTGGACGATGCTTGTGTGAGTCTGGGGACATTAGGCACAACTTCCTGGAGAAAGCCTGGGCTGAGGTTTAAAGGATGAGTAGGAAGGTACTAGCTAGGTGACTGGTAGGGGAAAGCAATGTCAGAAGAGCACATAGTGCAGAGGCCTGAAATGGCATTGTTGTGTGTGGTGAGCAATAACCTATTCTCACTACGGGGAAAGGTGGATAGAAGCAATGGAAGTAAAGAGGTGTGAGCCAGGTGGTGGACTTCTATAGCAGATTAGTAAACTTAGTCAATAGGACAGGAAACCCAGAAGGATGGTAACTGGGGGCTGACTTTAATTTAGTTGAAATGATCACTTTTGATGCTAGAGGTACTTATAATGAGTAACAGTACTAGAATAAATCTGACAAATTTTTGTTAATGTCTTGAAAAAATGGTCAAGTTAGGTGAATAAAAAACAATTACCTTTGAACTGAATTTCATTCTAGTTCAAGGGACAATGCGTTCATGATATTCATACCTAGTTTCTTTCTGTAATTGTCATAGGACTCAGTGCTAATTGCTTTGGGAGTTTGCCTCAGACTGAAAAACAACTATGTTCTCTTCCTCATCCTCTTCAAAGTTTTTGTATTGCTTTTTTCTCCTACCCTTCATCAGTGACTCTTATAAGAACAGACCCACTATAATTATCCTTATCTCAAGACCAACAAAACTTAAATAAGGACCTTTCTGGATCTATCTTTGGGGAAAAAAAGCAGTATTAGACTTAGGAATTCTTGAAATTGGAAATCACTGCCCTATTTTAATTAGCACCAGGCATAAACTTGGAGCCATTCAGCAAGTTTTATGCAGCATATTTAATGCTAATTTTAGAGTTTGGTATGACAATGAAATCTGTTAAGACAGTAAAGAATGCTACTATGCATATATATAATCTGATCAGGATTTGATAGTTCTGAAATATTCACATTTAGAAGTTACATATCAGTAGTCTGAAGTAAAGATTTTCCTTTCGGGGGGCAAATATAATAGACATGGATATAAAGGAACTCTAATGAAAATTGTTTTCTATATATGAAATTATGTGATAACCAACGAATTAGTTGGAGATCCCAATCCCCAGTGGGTCTGTGGGTGCTTTCTGTGCACTTTCACCAGAAGTTTGCTAGAAGTTGTCTATTTAAAGGTTAAAATATTTTCAGCTGAAATATTCAAATGTGTTGAAATCCCTATGAAGGAGTAAAGGAAAAATCGAGAGAAGTAGCATGATTTCATTTGATATTTCTTAAGCATTAAAGTATCTGGAGAAATAAAGTTAACATCCATGAAACAACTGTAATACATTATAAAGCCACATAAAATACATGCCAGTGTAGGACTTATTCCCAAGCTCTATGAGTTAGGAGAGAACGCCTGCTGGAGTGTTTGAGACTAGAATCTGATGATAAAAGAAAGGATGGAATAGGACAGGGTGATAGAAAAGAAAAAGCAACTGCTGTGTTTTCTTTTAAATCAAAGTCATGTGTATATATTAGGTAAAATACAAGTAGTTCTCAAGATTACTAGTTTTAGCCAGGGTACAGAAACTTAAAGTCATGTTTTCAAATTTGTTGACTTTTTTTTTTTTAAAGATTTACTTATTTGTGCATACAGAACTGGGTACAGGCCAGAAAAGCAGGGGCAGCGAGAGGATTCACCAGAGACAGAATGGGGAGCAGAACAGGCCAAATGATGAAGTACACTGCTGAGGGGAGCAGCGGGTGGGGCAGGAGACGTCTGCCACGCCCTGTGGTCACCTCTGGGGAAGGTGGGGATTGAACTCATGCTGAAGTGGCTTTAGCTTCTTAGCGCTGTGCTTTAACCCGCTGCATGACCAGAGAGGGCCTGTTGACATTTTTGATGCAAGATTTTTCCAAACTATCTTGCATTGTTAAATGAAGTTTTTTCTCCCCATTATATTCCTTTTATTACAACTATGCTTTTAGATTAAAGCTAATAAAAACACAGTAATATAAAAAGAAAGTATCACACAATGCAGCTGACAGGTGGTATTTATTACATTAATTGTAAATACATTTCAATGCTTGGGGAATGTTTGAATCAAAATATATGGTAAAACTGAAATCACGAAGAATGCAAACAATGACTTATAGCTGTTAAAATTGTCCCATGAATTCTGAAATTCCCTATCTGAAAAACTGAAAGATAGTACCTTCTAAAAGAATTACTCTAGCTGTGTTCCAGTTCTGGGAGACACATGTAAAGAATTTATGTTAGTAGCACTTATGCTCTCTTGTTCTGACTACACAGTGGCATAGGTGGAGTGGAACCTGGTTTAGAACATTTAACCCAAAAGTATGAAGGCACAGAAAATAGATATATAGAGCTTTTCTGGCTAAAAATTCTAAACGTTCACTCACTGTTATAGGACAAACAGATCATGGACTATGCTACCTTTTCTTTCTCACAGTATATGCTAATCTTCTCCAGACTGTCAGTGGCTTAGCCAATTTTTAATCTATTTGCAGAAGTTAAAGGAAAAATAACCCATAGTAAGGGATTGTTTAGTAGCTGTGTTGTAGCTACATGGTATAAGATATTTTTGCTACAGTTAATGTTTTTGTGTCCTTTGAGTAGATACCAAGGAATGGGATTGCTGGGTCGTAGGGAAGCTCCATGTTAAGCAGGTTGAGGAACCTCCAAACAGTTTTCCATAGTGGTTGTACTAGTTTGCATTCCCACCAGCAGTGTAGGAGAGTTCCTTTTTCTCTAATCCTATATCACCATTTGTTGTTCCTAGTTTTTTTTTTTTTTAATATTTGCTATTCTCACTGATGTGAGATATCTTATTGTGGTTTTGACTTTCATGTACCTAATTACAACTTTTTTTTTTTTATATGCCTGTTAGCGCTTGCATTTCCTCTTTGGAGAAGTGTGTTTTTTGGTCTTCTGCCCATTTGTTCACTGGATTTATTGCAGCACTATAGAAGCAACCCAATGCCCAAAAATAGATAACTGGATCAAGAATATGTGGTACATATACCAAAAGGGAGTATTACTTAGCAATCAAAAAAGATAAACTCATGCCATTTGCAGCAGCATGGATGGAGCTGGAAGGGTCATGCTCAGTGAAATAAGCCAGAAAAAAGAAAAAGAAAAATACCAGACGTTTTCATTTTTAGGAGGAATATAAGGGGTTGAGGGAAAAAGTAATTATAATAA